GCCAAAAGTGGAGGGGTCAGCCAGGCTCCGGTGCCTCATGCCTGTAATCCTAGCTACTCAGGAGGCTGAGATCTGAGGATCATGGTTCAAAGCCAGCCTGGGGAGGAAAGTCCTTTAGACTCTTATCTCCAATTAACTGCCAGAAAATCCACTGTGGCACTGTGGCTCAAGTGGTAGATCACTTGACTTGAGCTAAAGAGCTTAGGGACAGTGCCCAGGCCCAGAGTTCAAGCCCCATGACTGGCAAAAACAAAACAAAACCACAAAGTGGAGGGGTGGCTTAAGTAGTAGAGCATCATCCTTGAGTGCCAATCCAGAATATGAGGTCCTGAGTTCAAGCCCCAGGACTGGCAGAAAAACTAACCAACCCCAAACAACAAACAAACCCCAAGCAAACAAAAATAGAGGAGAGACAATAGAAATTCTCTTTCCCATTTTTATTCACCAGAGAGAAAGACATAGTTGATATTGAATTAACTACAGATTTCTAAGAGGTTTAATAGACCATCATATAGCAGACTTTAATATTGAGGTAATTGCAAGACAATGCTCATGCTATTTTGCTATATGGATGACAGAGAAAACCCACTAGAAAAGATGTGTTTTTAATGGAATGTTTCAGCTACACTGAGCATTTTAAAGCATCTAGTGTCCTCCATTGCCAGCTAGAATAATGCAGGCCAAAATGTCCTAACTCCACTTTGATTCTCCAGTGGCATTAAATTCTGGTAAATGACTATTATTTATTTATGTACTTGAACTGGTCCTGGAACTTGAACTCAAGGCCTAGGTACTATCTCTGAGCTTTTTTGTTTAAGGCTAGCACTCACAGCTCCACTTATGGCTTTTGGGTGGCTAACTAGAGATAAGAGGCTCTTGGAAAGCTGGGTGCCAGTGGCTCACGCCTGTAATCCTAGCTACTCAGGAAGCTGAGATCTGAGGATTGTGGTTCAAAGCCAGCCTGGCCAGGAAAGACCTTTAGACTCTTCTCTCCAATAAACCACCAGAAAACTGGAAGTGGCGCTGTGGCTCAAGTGGGTCGAGTGCTCACCTTGAGCTGAAGAGCTGAGGGACAGCGCTCAGGCCCAGAGTTCAAGCCCCATGACCAACCAAAAAAAGGGGGGAGGGGCTGGGAAGGTGGCTCAGTGGTAGAGCGCTTGCCTTGCATGCCTGAGGCCCTGGGTTTGATTCCTCAGCACCACATTAAGCAGAAAAAGCTGGAAGTGGTGCTGTGGCTCTAGTGGTAGAGAGTATCTTGAGCTGAAAAGTTTAGAGACAGCGCCCAGGCCCAGAGTTCAGGCCCCATGACCAACAAAAAAAAAAAAAAAAAAAAAAAGGAGGCTCATAGACTTTCCTGTCTATGAGCTTTGAACCTGGATCCTCAGATCTCAGTCTCCTGAGTAGCTAGGATTACAGGCATGAGCCACAGGTGACCAGCTACAATTGCTTCTTCTTCTTTTTCTTCTTCCTTTTGTTTTTTTGTTGGTCATGAGGCTTGAACTCTGGGCCTGGGCGCTGTCCCTCAGCTCTTCAGCTCAGGGCTAGTGCTCTACCACTTGAGCCACAGCGCCACTTCCAACAATTGCTTCTCAAATGTAGGGTCTTAGCATTTTTTTTTTCTTTATATAAAGCCTAAGAAAGACAAAGCCTTTTCCAGCTTTACTCCTCTCCTGTTTCACTCCCCAGAAGACCTGGTGGCGATTAAGAAGCCATCCTACACATAATGTGGTTAGTTAAGTGGTCTAATGTCCCAGTTATCCTGTTAGTGGCTGGCAGTGAGGGAGGATTTTGTTAGTGGAGTCAAACAGGGAAGCAGTAATCTGATTAGCTAGTTGCCATCTGAGGCTGTTGGCTGAGCCGGTGGTTTCAAATTGAGTGGAGAGCAGCTATGTGTTTCCTGCAAACTGCAGGAATCTGTTCTTCTAAACAGTCTCTTCTGGAACTTTTCCCTAACAGATAAGTTCTTTAAGCCTCCAAATCATCTCCTCAACCCACCAAGCATGCTCTACTTTTTCTATTTTTTTTTTTTTGGGGGGCCTGAACTCTGGGGCTGGGCACTGTCCCTCAGCTCTTCAGCTCAAGGCTAGCACTCTACCACTTGAGCCATAGCACCACCTCCAGCTTTTTTCTTTTGGCTTATGTGGTGCTGAGGAATCGAACCCAGGGCTTCAGGCATGCAAGTCAAGCACTCTACCACTGAGCCAACTTCCCAGCCCCTGCTCTACTTTTTCTAAATATATATAATAATAATGTCAGAGACACAACAGCTACAGACCAGACTTCTAATCAGTCCATTGGTTAGGGCCAATATAATCTCTTTTCCTGCGTCTCTGTGTGTGTGTGTGTGTGTGTGTGTGTGTGTGTGTGTGTGTGTGTGTGTGTGTACTGGGGCTTGAACTCTGGGCCTCATGCTTTCATTTGGGCTTTTTCTACTCAAGACTGGTGCTCTACCACTTGAGCCACACCTCCATTTCCAACCTTTTTTTTTTTGCTGGTTCATTGGAGATAGGATTCTCGTGGATTTGTCTGCCCCAGGCTAGCTTCAAACCATGATGCTCAGATCTCAGCCTCTTGAGTAGTTAGGATTACAAATGTGATCCACTGACACCAGACTTGAACCTTGTTTCTTGTTTCCAACCCTGTCCCAGATAGCTGTTCTTCCTATTCTGGGATTTCTTTTTCTGGTGTCTTCCAGTCAGCAGAGTGGCACAGTGGTAGAGTGGCACAAGGACCCAGCCTTGGGGGTTCTGCAGGGAAGAATGGGGAAGTCTGCAGGGGTTTGTTTGCACTTCTATTAAGCACTTTAGAGCCATCCTTTGCCTTACCTGTGTGTTGAACATGGTGCAAAGGTTCCTGAAGTGAGGCAATTGGTTCTCTGGTTCACCTGCTCATATGCTGCCACCTAGTGGTTCCTTCTTCAGCACTCAGTACAAGGAGGAGGGGACACTTCCGTATTGCCTTTTTCCTGTTTTGTGCCAGCCCTGGGGCTTGAACTTAGGGCCTGGGCACTGTCCCTGAACTTTTTTTTTCCCCCAAAGCTAGGCTCTACTTCCAGCTTTTCTGGTGGTTAATTGGAGACAAGAGTATCACAGATTTTCCTGCCTGAAGTGTCTTTGAACTATGAACCTCAGATTTCCTGTATAGCTAGGATTACAGGCATGAGCTACCAGTACCTGACTTACATTTTTTTATGTGTGCTGCTGGTCCTGGTGCTTGAACTCAGGGCCTGGGTCTGTCCTTGAGCCTTTTTGTGCCCAAGGTTAGCACTCTAACACTTGAGCCACAGCTCTACTTCCAGTTTTTTCTGAGTGGTTTATTGGAGATAAGAGTCTCACAGACTTTCCTGCCTGGGCTGGCTTTGAACCATGATCCTCAGGTCTCAGCCTCCTGAATAGCTAGGATTACAGGAGCAAACCACTGGTGTCCAGCCCTTTTCATTTCTTTAACTATCAAACACAAAAATGTCTTATTTTATCCCTGGGTTGGAAAAATCTAGAAATGAAGAGTTGGAGTGACTTTTAATTTTCCTTTGAGACATTTGACTTCCATTGACTTCTCTGTTTGCTGGCTGGTTTCTGTAGAGGAAGTGCACCAGGGCTGCAGGGAGTGAGGCCCTTACTGATAGAGGAAGAGCTCTGCTCTGAATGGATGGTTTTAGTAATATTCCTAGAGCTGCTCAGGTCCCTACCTTTCAAAATTTCATGTCAACTCAGATAATAACAGTGCTTATTGAACAGTAACCATATGGCATTGTTACATGAGCGTTACACAGGAGAAACCTTTTCTTTTCATCTTCCTAATGATTCACACAGAGAGAGAGAGAGAGAGAGAGAGAGAGAGAGAGAGAGAGAGAGAGAGAGAGAGAGAGAATAACCCTCCTACAGAGAGGAAGTGGAGGCATGAAAGACGTACTGATTTATTGAGAGGGCATAATAAACAAGGGTGGCTAGGAGTTATTAGAAAGCATTCTAGTCCTGGAGTTTCTGCTTTCTCTCTCTCTCTCTCTCTCTCTCTCTCTCTCTCTCTCTCTCTCTCTCTCTCTCTCTCTCTCGTGTGTGTGTGTGTGTGTGTGTGTGTGTGTTAGTATTGGAGCTTGAACTCAGGAGCTCTCAGCTTGATTGCTCATGGCTGGTGCTCTATTACTTGAGCCATATCTCTGGTCTGGTATTTTGCTGGTTAATGGAAGATGGAATCATATTGACTTTTCTGCCCAGGCTGGCTAAAGATTGAGATCCTCCAGGTAGGAATCAGCCTCCCGAGTTACTAGGATTGCAGGCATGAACCATTGGAATCCAGAGAATTTCTGATAGTAAGCATTGCTTTGCTGCCTCTTGGATGTAAGAACGGAAGATAGCTTGAGTGTGAGAAGCTAGAGGAACTGAGAGTCTTCTATTAGAGACCCACCTCAATGCTCTTCCTCAGCCCTGGTTTGGGACTTGTGGGAGGGAACACAGCAGAGTTAACCCAAGGCGGAAGGGGAGCTGTCCAATGTGCTGATTCCCAGACCTTGTTCTGTCTGTCTCAGAGATTCTTCACAGAAAACAAAGTACCTTAACTAGGTATTTTTTTCAAAGGAAATCTGAGCAGCAGACCCCGAAACCAACTAGCAGATGGCTGAACTTGTCATAAAAGACAATTAATTGTAAGTTTCCTTTCCTGTCTGAGCTTTGTTTTCCCTCTGGAATTTCCCTTCCCACTTTTTTTTTTTTTTTGTACTAGGGTTAGAACTCAGGGCCTTAAATTTGCTAGGCTGGTGCTCTATCACTTGAGCCGCATCCATCAGTCCAGCATTTTGCTGATTAATCGGAGATGGAGTCCCATGAACTTTCTGCCTGGGTTGGCTTCAAACCACAGTCCTCCACATCTCAGCCTCCTTTGGGATTACAGGCATAAGCCACCAGCTCCAGCTACCCTTTCTACTTTGTTTGGAGCTGGTATGAATGTCCAGAGGCAGTATTTTGCTATGTTTCAGAAAGGAGTTCCACACTATCACACAAGACAAAGACCTGAATCTGAAGTTTATTTGTGCTTTACAAAGCAGCCAACAACCTCCTCTCAAAATTGCCTCCACCTCCTCCTCTTCCTTGTGACTAGCCATGGAAAAAGCACGTGTGAGTGTGTGGACGCTATTAGAGACGGACATAAGTGATGAGTTATGGTTTAGTATATCCTGCTTGATGCGCAGGATCTCAGATAAGGTAGCTGAGACTTGGTTCAGTCTGTGAAGAGAGAGGCCATGGCCAAAATGGTGACTGGGAGCTCTAGATGGTCTGCTTCTTCTTTAATGCAGAACAGCAAGAAGTTGGCTCCTAGAAAGGGGAAATACATAAATGTAGTTTTAGAATTCAGACTATAGAACTGTGAATAGGAGTGAAAAGCCTTCCCTCCCAACACATCTTATACTTTCTCATTCTCAGAGGGAACCCATATTATCATTTTCTTTTTCCTTCCAGAAGGATTTCATAAACATACAAATAAATAGGCATAGTCTCTACTCCCTTTTTTATTTATTTAAATTTTATTTTACTATATTTTTTGCCAATCCTGGGGCGTGAACTCAGCATCTGGGCACTGTCCCTGAGCTTCTTTTTGCTCAAGGCTAGCACTCTACCATTTGAGCCACAGCACCACTTCCAGCTTTTTCTGTTTATGTGGTACTGAGGAACCGAATCTAGGGCTCATGCATACTAGGCAAGCACTCTACCTCTGAGCCACATTGCCAGCCCTATTTTACTGTTTGTTTTTTTTTTATGTTTTAGTAAGAATTTAGTATAGTAATGTTAAAGTAGGAAGAGAGAGAGGGAGAAAGAGAGAATTTGCCATCAGGAAATGGGAGGTAAAGACTGCTCTACTTCCTTTTTATACAATGGGTCAAATTTGGCCTATCTTTCATTGCTCTGTGTGTGTGTGTGTGTGCGCGCGCGCATGCAATTGTGCTGGGGATTGAGCTGTCTTCTTGTTCTTGTTTGGATCTTTCATTTTATTCTCACTCAAGATGGATGTTCTCCCACTTGAGTCACACATTTCCATCTCTTTTTTTGCTGCTTAATTGGAGATAAGAGTTTCTTGGATTTGCCTGCTCCGGCTGGTTTAGAACTGTGATCCTTAGATTTCAGCCTTCTGAGCGGCTAGGATTACAGGCGTGAACCACCACTGCCCAACTTATTATTGCTTTTTGTTTTTTTGTCAGTCATGGGGTTTGAACTCAGGGCCTGGGTGCTGTCCCTGAGCTCTTTTGCTCAAGGCTAGCACTCTACCATTTTGAGCAACAGCACCACTTCCAATTTTTGAGTGGTTAAGTAGAGCTAAGAGTCTTATGGGAACTTTTCTTTTGTTCATTTTTGTCAGTCATGGGGCTTGAACTCTGGGCCTGGGCATTGTCCCTCAGCTCTTCAACTCAAGGCTAGCACTCTACCACTTGAACCACAGCACCACTTCTAGTTTTCTGGTGGTTTATTGGAGATAAGAGTTTCATGGCCTTTCCTACCCAGGCTGGCTTTGAACCCCAATCCTCAGGTCTCAGTCTCCTGAGTAGCTAGGATTACAGGCATGAACCACCAGTGCCTGGTCTGGCTTATTTTTATTAAAAAAATTTTTTTTAATCGGTCATGGGGTTTAAACTCTGGGCTTGGGTGCTGTCCTTGCGCTCTTCAGCTCAAGGTGAGTGCTCTACTGCTTGAGCCACAGTAATACTTCCAGTTTTCTAGTGGTTTATTGGAGATAAGAGTCTCACAGACTTTCCTGCCCAGGCTGGCATTGAACCATGATCCTCAGATCTCAGCCTCCTGATTAGCTAGAATTACAGGCGTGAGCCACCAGCGCCCGGCCTGGTCTTGCTTAATTCTTTAAATGTATTAGAGTGCATTTAGGCCATGTACAATCCTTAGCTATTACATATAAACTTGTGTGCATCATTCAGCATGTGTGCAAGGATAATTGTAGAATAAATCCTTAGAAGTGGAATAGCTGGGTTATAGAAAATGCAGAGATAAACCACTTGTGTGTGTGTGTGTGTGTGTGTGTGTGTGTGTGTGTGTGTGTGTGTGAGAGAGAGAGAGAGAGAGAGAGAGAGAGTTGTAGGGCTTGAAATCTGGGCCTGGGTGCTGTCCCTGAGTTCTTTTGTTGAAGGTTTCTGATTTTCTGGCAGTTAATTGGGGATAAGAGTCTCACAGACTTTCCTGCCCAGGCTAGCTTTGAACCAGGATCCTCCAATCTCAGCCTCCTGAGTAGCTAGGATTTATAGGTGTGAGCCACTGGTGCTCAGCAGAGATAAACAACTTTAAATAAACAGCAGAGTAAAGATGGGTGAATTTGTTTTGATTTGCCAGAAAAATTCCAACCCTTCTGCATTCATGGCCAGGAAACGAAGTCCTCATCAAAAAAGTCATAAAGTCAAACCTTGAGCGACAGGCCTGAGCTGCTGCTTTATGGTTGTGCATGGGCATCAGTGAGTAAGATCTATCTATCTATTCATTTAGCTACTGTTGCACACTAGAGCGGGCCCTGGCCCGGCACACTCCAAGGACAGCTTGTATCACTGTCACAAGTGATGCCATCCCTTCCCCCCCTGCAACGGATGCTGCTTGCATCTCAGGCCGGAAGATGGAGCTGGTGATATCGAGCTGGTCTTGGGTACCCACCACCACTATCCTAATCAAACAAAACCCACTCTGTGCTGGGTGCTGCTAGCTCTTGCCTGTAATCACACAGGCTGAGGTCTGAGGATTGAGGTTTGAAGCCAACCCAGGTAGGAATGTCTGTGAGACTCTTATCTCCAACTGATCACCCAAACAGCTGGATCGAAAGCCATGATTCAAGTGGTAGAGCACCAGCCTTGAGTGAAAAAGCTCAGGGGCAGCTCCCAGGCCCTGAGTTCACGTCCCAGAACTGGTACCAAAAAATAAAACATACATACACAAAGCTCTGTTTAGCTTGGGTGGTATTCCTGTGGGAGTTTCTTTGGGGATCAATAAACTATCCTGGTGGCAAGAGTCTTAGTTGTACCTTGGGAAAATTCCTCTCTCTCTCTCTCTCTCTCTCTCTCTCTCTTTTTTGTCAGTTGTGGGGCCTGGGCACTGTCCCTCAGCTTTTCATCTCAAGGCAAATGCTCTACCACTTGAGCCTCAGTGGCACTTCTGGCTCTGTCTGCTTATGTGGTGCTGAGGAATCGAACCCAGGGCCTCATGCATGCAAGGCAAGCACTCTACCACTGAGCCACCTTCCCAGCCCTTTTCTTTTTCTTTAGTAATAAATCCTTTATTCTGTGTGTGTGTGTGTGTGTGTGTGTGTGTGTGTGTGTGTGGTGTTCTGGGGTATGAACTTAGGGCTTGGGTGTTGTCTCTGAACTTTTGTGTCTGGTCGTGGAGCCTGAACTCTGGGCCTGAGCGCTGTCCCTCAGCTCTTCAGCTCAAGGCTAGTGCTCTACCACTTGAGCCACAGCGCCACTTCTGGCTTTTTTTTTTTTGCTTATGTGGTGCTGAGGAATCGAACCCAGGGCCTCAGGCATGCAAGGCAAGCGCTCTACCACTAAGCCAACTTCCCAGCCTCCGACTCTGAACTTTTTTGGTCAAGGATAGATCTCTATCACTTGAGCTACAACTCTACTTACAGTTTTTTTTTTTTTTTTGGTAGTTAATTAGAGGTAAGAACCTCGTGAAGCCAGGCACCAGTGGCTCACACCTGTAATCCTAGCTACTTAGGAGGCTGAGATCTGAGGATTGCAGTTCAAAGCCATCCCAAGTAGGAAAGGACGTGAGACTCTTATCTCCAATAAACCACCAGAAAACCAGAAGTGGCTTTGTGGCTCAAGTGGTAGAGCGCTACCCTTGAGTTGAAGAGCTGAGGGACAGCATTCAGGCCCAGAGTTCAAGCCCCATAACACCCCCCCCCCCCCAAAAAAAAAAGTCTTATGAACTATCCTGCCCATGCTGGCTTGGAACCTCTGGTATTTTTGTTGTTTATTGGAGATAAGAGTCTCATGGACTTTCCTGCCCAGGCTGGCTTTGAACCGGAATCCTCAGATCTCAGCCTCCTGAGTAACTAGGATTACAGTCATGAGCCACCAGTTCCTGGAAATGTAGGATCTTGATAGCTGTTTTTATTATTATTATTAGCCTAGGCTGATCTTGAATTGCAGTCCTCTCAATCTCTACCTCCTAAGTAGCTACAATTATAGGTGGGTGCCACTGGCCCCAGTTCCTTTTAATAAAAGAATGACATTAATTTCTGTTTTACATTTTCTGACACTTTTAGTTGAACCCAATCCTAAACTTAGGGGGGGAAAACCAATTTTGGACTCAATTTTTGTTCCATATTGACTCATTAGCATTACTTTTGAAGGAAAGCTCTTTCATTGTCAACCCTCAGAAAGGAAGAGAAAGGAAGTCATGGCGGACAAACTCCACTGAACTCAGAGCAGTTCACTGCCTATGGCTTTGATACCTGGTTTCATCTTTCTTCTAGATCAAAGGCGGTGGTGAGGTACTCCTTCGGTACGATCCCAACGAGGCTGTTTAGTTCTCCTACCCACCAGCCATACATGTTGTATTCCTAAGAAATGAAAAGAAACGCGTTTCAGTTAGGTCATGCTTCTGGGAGCCTATTCAGTGTGGGGTTTGCTGGCACCATCAATATGAAAACTCTCAACATCTTTGATGCTATTGTTAAATTTAAAAGAGTGATCTAGAGGAGGGAAGCAAACACATTCATGTTGCCATTGTCCTGTCTTATGGAAGCTTATCTTATTCAATACTACCGTGAATTTAAATGGTTATTAATTAATTAAATGGATATTGCTATTATTATTTTATTATTATTATTATTTTGGTGCTGACACTGGGATTTGAACTCAAAATCTTGAGTTCAGCCTTTTCACTCAACGCTGGCACTTTACTACTTGAGCCACTTCTGTCTTTTTTGATAGTTATTTGGAGATAAGAGTCTCTCAGATTTATCTGCCTATGATGGCTTTGCACCTTGATCCTCAGACCTCAGGCTCCTGAGTAGCTAGGATTACATGCATGAGACACCAGTGCCCAGGCCTTTTTAGTTATATATTTATTTACTTAAAATCAAGCAGAATCCTAGCTTCTTTTAGAGCATATCAGGCACTTACAAAAATGCCAGAACACTCAAGATACTTAGGGAGTCAGGTCATGGTTCAAATCAATACTATATCAGGCATCCTCTATTTACAAGGTGCTGGTTGAGCTCACATGGGTGTAGAATTATGAAGCAGAGAATTACTTGCTCCTTGGGAGCTTACAGAATAGAGTAATGGATTTTGGAGTCAGAAAGACTGGGAACTAATTGTTGCTTGATCATTTAGTAGCCATGAGTCTTAGGTTCTTCTAGCTTTGCCTTCCTCAGGTGTGACATGGGGACTGTCCTTCCCTGTCCTGTGTTGGGGGGATGTGACAGTCCTGAATTGTTATGCAATGTGTGTTTTAAAGCATAGATTCTTTCTCTAGAAGAAGGGGGAGGTGTCCAGAACCACCAGTAATATCACGTAGGATGCAAGGGCCTAGAGATTGCACTTCAAATCCATGTGGGCAACCATGGGGCTATTTGCCTTTTTTTGTTTTGCTTTGTGTTTGCTGGTCGTAGGGCTTGAACTCTGGGCCTGGGTATTGTCCCTCAGCTCTTCAGCTCAAGGCTAGCGCTCTACCACTTGAACCACAGAGCCACTTTTGGCTTTTTCTGTTTATGTGGTGCTGAGGAATTGAACCCAGAGCCTCATGCATGTGAGGCAAGCACTATACCACTGAGCCACCTTCCAAGCCCTGCCTTTTTTTTTTTTTTTTTTTTTAACACTTGATAAGTTTTAGGGGGAAAAAAGAAAGGAAAGAAAATCAGCTTGGGGATCTGTAGACATCTGGTTTATTTTTTTGTCTTTAGAGAGTGAATTTCCCATCTCCAACTCTGTTGCTTCCCCTTCATCTTAGCAGAAAACTCCTCTGCCTTCAAAGAGAAAACAGGGCAGGCACTGGTGACTCAGACCTGTAATCCTAGCTACTTAGATCTAACTACTATGATCTAAGGATCATAGTTTGAAGCCAGCCTGGGCAGGAAAGTCTGTGAGACTCTTATCTCTAAATAACCACTAAAAAGCCAGAAGTGGAACCGTGTCTTAAATGGTAGAGTACCAGCCTTGAGTGAAAAAGCAAAGGGAACATACTCAGGCCTTGAGTTCAAGCCCCTGTACCAAAACACACACACACACACACACACACACACACACACACACTCACACACACACACACACACACTCATAAGAGTCTCTCAGATTTGTCTGCCTGGACTGGTTTCCAACCTCCATTCTTAGATCTCCACCTCCTGAGTAGCTAGGATTACAGGTGTGAGCCACCTGCACCTGGCTCTGATGCTCTTTCTTCTAGAAATCCAACTACCTTTGTAGTTTAACCACCATCTCTGTGTTATTGACTCATGACTGGTTAATGATTCTAGCTAAGATCTAAGCATTAGGCCCTACTACCCAAGTGCATCTCAACCAGCCTGTTCAAATCCAATATGTCTAAAATTTAACTCATCAGCCTGCCTCTCTCCTCACCCTTTCTCCCCAACTATCTTCATCTCCCGTGTTCTCTACCTCCGTGAGTGGTCCTAAAATGCATTCAGATATCCAGATTAGAAATCCAGAGTCCTTCCCAACCTTACCCAGCCTGTTCCAAGCAATCCTGAGTCCTGTTAGCTCTCTCCACAGTCTGACTGGAATCTATGGACTTCTCTCCATCCCCGCTGCCAGCGACTCCAGAGTCCTGTCACTGTCACTTCTCATCAGGACTATAGAAACAATCTCCACATTGCTCTCAGTGTCTGTGTTCTTCTCCACTCCATTCTTCATGCTATAGCTAGACTCCTGCAATGTACCTTGATCACGGCATGGCTCTTTGGAGCCTGTTAGTAAGTTCCCGCCGCTCTGTGTCATCTTCACGAAGTAGACGAGGTCCTGCATGAGCTGGTTCTGCTTAGTTCCTATAACACTGCCATTCACCCCTAAATCTGGTGTACCTGTAATAATGCTCTCAGCCACTCCCATGGAACATGGCATGTCTCACTTTGGATCTTTTCCTCTGTACCCCCCTCTCCTGCCCCCCCACCCCAGCCTCTCCTCCCTTTCTCTCTGTCATGGGGCTCAGAGCTTAATTCCTAAGTCTGTCTGTCTGTCTGAATGTCGGTGATGCCTGTGCTTTCCTGGAAATGAGGTCACCACCCTTCCTGGAGTCATCACCCTAGTATCCAACATAGAGTGGGGACAAATCAGTACTTGTTAAATGAGGTCCAGTGGGACTCTCTAGTCTCAGTTGAACAGAATTAGTCCCAACTAACTCCCAGATAATCCCCAGTGATGGAGGTGCTTGTGACAGGAAGAGATCAACTGCCTTTGGAGACAGGCTTCCCAAATCTCTCTCTAAGTGCCAAGAATAGTCTCAAATGCCACAAGAAGCCAGACTATTGAGCTGATCCTTTAAGAACTGGGTAATTGCCTTTAAAAAAAAATAATAAATACGGGCTGGGAAGGTAGTTCAGTGGTAGAGTGCTTGCCTTGCATGCATGAGGACCTGGGCTGGATTCCTCAGTACCACATAAACAGAAAATGTTGGAAGTGGCGCTGTGGCTCAAGTGGTAGAGCGCTAGCCTTGAGTTGAAGAGCTGAGGGACAGCGCCCAGGCCTAGAGTTCAGGCTCCACAACTGACAAAAACAAATAAATAAAAATTAAAAAATCATAAATAACAAGCCAGGTGCTAGTGGCTCACACCTGTAATCCTAGCTACTCAGGAGGCTGAGATCTGAGGATCACGGTTCAAAGCCAGCCTGGGCAGGAAAGTCCCTGAGACTCTTATCTCCAATAAACCACTAGAAAATCGGAAGTGGTGCTGTGGCTCAAGTAGTAGAGCACTCACCTTGAGCTAAGAGTGCAGGGACAGTGCCCAAGCCCAGAGTTCAAGCCCTGTGACCGACAAAAAATCAAAATAAAATCATACATAACTGATGTGTGTGTCCACCAGTTCTTCCTACACCATCCTCTCTCATTACCCGCCCCCCTCCTCCAGGCCAACTTCTCTCTATAGTGTACACTGCCTCATGGGAAATTACCCACAAGTTCTCAGCCCCCAGCCCAGCAAGATGTTTTTCAGCTCATCTGGGTGCAAACTATGTTACTGTCCCCTTTTCTTTTTCTTTTTTTTTAATTTAATTTTATTTTTTTGTGAACATATTGTACAGAGGGGTTACAATTACAAGGGCAAGATAATGAGTACATTTCTTATCAAGCATTGCAGCCTCCTCCTTTGTTTACTGTCCCCTTTTCAATATTTGAGTTGGGCTATTTCTGCCTTATCTAGTTTATACGTGTGTGTGTGTGTGTGTGTGTGTGTGTGTGTGTGTATGCGCGCGCATGCTTGTGTGTCAGTGCTGGGTGCATGCATCAGTGCTGGTGCTTGAACTCAAAGCATTGTGTTGTCACTGCTTGCCTCCCCTCTCCCCCCCCAAGGGCTGGTGCCTCTCCTTTTGAGCCACACCTCTACTACCAGCTTTTTGCTGGTCAATGGAGATAAGAATTTCATGTACTTTCCTGCCTGGACTGACTTCAAACTGTGATCCTCAGATCTCAGCCTCCCAAGTAGCTAGGATGACGGGCATGAGCCACCAGCATAAGGCCGATACAGGCCTTATGTTGTTGTTTTAGGTAGAATCATATTGCATTTACTGAGTTGCTAGGGTGTCTGTATCTACCAGGCCTTGCTGTGAGGGGGACATACATACTCTGTCCTCCTCTCTCACTGGAACTCATCATACAAACTAGCTTTAGCTCTTCTGCAGTCTCACACACGGAAGGGGAGTGCAATGTTGCCTGGCAGTTTTCTGATGAAAGACAACTTGCTTCTGTACCGGTGACATGCCTTCATCTATGTGCAAGATGCCTTTGACTTCACTACCTGTGGGGGTTCTAAGAAGGCATCTCCCTGGGGAGTGTTCAAGACCTTTTAACTTCATCTCTTGTTTCAGACCTCCTCCCCAACAATCCTCTCCCCCACACTTGAGCTGTAATGCCAGAGACCCAGCCTTGGGAGAGTTCTCTCTGCCAGCTCAAAAGAGGGTGCAAACAGGAAACAGATGAGTCTCTGCAGGGCACCAGCCAAAGCCGGGCTTGCAGTCAGTGCACTGTTGCTCGAGGGGAATGCTGACCCGCTGAATGCAGATGCAGTAGGCTCATCACAGTGCTGGGAGCCGGAGTGATTGAAATCAACTCTCTGCCCTTCAAAACAAAAGAGCAAGTGGAAGTGTAAGGAGGATGGCAGAATCTCAAAGACCATATGTATCCTGCTGTGGGAGCCTAGGAGCTTAATCAAAGCACCTACAAGTTCTGGGATCTGACTGTCTTCTACAGATTTCATCCCTTGGCTAGATACTGAAAAAAAAGGGGGGGGGCTGCAGGGTGAGATGTTTAAAGCATGAATGGAAAATTTCTAACGTTCTCTCCATTCCCCCCCCCCCCCCCATGCTTTGCTCCAGCCCAGCCTGAGCA